ATCTACGTAATAGAATCCATGCCATTCCTCTGCTTTCCCTCATCTACCTGAATTCTCCTCCATTTCTGCAATTTCTTCTTCCTTCGCACTCGATTCCTTCTCTTTCCCTTCTTCCATAGCTTTCAATCTTTCCTTCTCTTTAGCCAATTCAAGCCCTTTAATCAGACTTTCCAAGTAGATTTCAGCATCCCCTCTTGCAGTTTTCGGCATCAAATGCTCAGCCACATCCGCCGGAGTCATCTTGGCATCTGGTAATAGCGTAGCAATCCTAGAAAACAAATGGTGTGACTCAAGTTTCAGATAGTTCTTAGCTAGCACTTTGAATGCTTCATATCCACAGTATGACAGCTCTATATGTTTATCCATCCTTCCTTTCCGAATCAGAGCTGGATCTAGTTTTTCGACATGATTTGTTGTGAAAACAATGACTCTTTCTCCCCCACAAGCTGACCATAGCCCGTCGATGAAGTTCAGTAGCCCTGAAAGAGTAACCTGACTGGTTCTGCTCTCTCTTTCATCTTTGGGAGGTCTCTGCTTCGGATCTTTGGTTTCTTCTTGTACTTCTTCTTTCTCTGTTTTCTTCCTCCTCTGTCCGGTGAGATCAAGGGAACAATCAATATCCTCGATGACAATAACAGATTTGCCAGATGTTTCAATCAAGAGCTTCCTCAATTCAGTGTTGTCCTTCACAGCAGTCAGTTCAAGATCATAGATATCATAGCTTAGAAGATTGGCCACGGCGGCGACCATTGTAGATTTCCCTGTCCCTGGAGGTCCATAAAGGAGATAACCCCTTTTCCATGCTCTTCCTACTCTTGCATAGAACTCTTCAGCCTTACTGAATGTAATCAAGTCCTCCATAATTTCACTCTTCCTCCCCTGCTCCATGGCCACAGTATCAAACGTTGCTGGATGCTCAAACACAACATGGCTCCACCTATATCCGGTGTTTGTGTACAGGTTCCTCTGTCTGTTCCTCACCCCGATGGCCTTACCCTCTTTCACCACATGTTTTAGGTAAGTTCCGATGATGAGATCCCGGTGGCGTTTGTGGAAAGTGAGCTTGTAATACCGCTTCTCATCTGTAACAGGATAGGAAGAAAATGACTGTGTCTTGGAAACATGCTTACCGTAAGCCCACCAGAGTTTGATTCCTTGAAATTCAACCTCAACTTCTTCGTGATCATCCATGCTAAGCACAACAGACTGGTTGTTCCGCCCAATATCAGCCTTGAGCCGCTTTGCTTGCGTGGAGGAAGTGGAGGCGAGGTAGTTTTCGATGGCAGTGTAGGCTTCACTACGCATCAGACGCTCCCCAGTGAACTCATTGAAGGTAATCTGAATATAAGGGAACACAAAAGTCACCAATCTCTGAGAGTATTTCTCGATGTACTTTCGAAGCTGATACGGGAAGAATTGCTGAAAAACAGCCCAGACAAACATCAAACTGGCAATTATGGATCCTAGATGAGCAAACGTGTCTCTTGGTGTCATGATTGATGCTTTGATTTTGCAGAGAAATGGAGGAAGATGGAGTGGTTTTATAGAGGCAGATATGGTTGTTTTTGCCCCTATACGAACACCTTAAATTGTCTGGTATAAAAATTTGACTGGTAGCTGTTGTATACATGGGTCCAGCCGCATTGAAAGGTGGTGTAAAATGTTGAAAATGGGGGAGTTTTCTTTCCACCGCCCATGGCATTTATTACCATGTAATTGTTGAAATTTACTCATGGTATTTTTAACCATGTTGACAAAAGGCATGCTTGCAAGAAGAATTCCTCCAGCCTATTGCTAGACACGGCACCACCCTAAAGGAGTCTTGTTCGGCTTGTTCACATTTGCTCATGTAAGTTGATGAGCTCTATAAATAGAGTTTGGGACAAGGCAGAAGAACCAACCAAGAGAAATTGAGAAAAGCTAAGTGAGTAAGTGCTCTTGTGAGAGAAAAAAAAAAAAAAAATTTTTGTGAAGATTAAGAGAGTACTAGGGACAATTTGAGAGTTTCTATATATTGAAACTAGTGTGTTAAGAGCTTCTTGAATAAGAAAGTTTCTAAACTATTGTGCTCTTTTTTTTAATTGTAGATTCATTTATCTCTTTCTCATAAATGTAGTTTTATTGAGAGATATATAAGTTAAATCACATTAAATTATTATTTCAAAATTTTTATTACTTTTGTTCGTGTGGGATTGTGGTACGCAAAATTCCCAATGAGTGGTATCAAAGCTATTGGTAAAGCTTTTGGTGTTGTGACAAAATGCAAATTGACACAATGAATTATTTGATTGAGTTGTTTGATGGCAAGGATGACTTTGCTTTATGGCAAAGCACTATGAAGGATGTCCTTGCCTATCAAGGACTTGATACAACTCTAAAAGAGAGCAAGCCTATTGAGGTGAAGGATAGTGATTGGAGTACTATACAAAAGAAGGCAACTAGTCAAATTCAGTTGGCACTTACGTTGGAGGTCAAATATAATGTCTTTTCAAAGACTACTTCAATAGGCATGTGGAAGAAGTCTGAAGAGATATATGCTTCAAAATTTTTAACCAATCGACTGTGTTTAAAAATGGAGTTGAATCAATTGAAGATGGCAAAAGGCACTAATATTCACAAGCACTTATTTCATTTTAACATAAAGGTGATGCAAGTAGTGAATGCCAAGGATATTCTAGAAAAAGAAAAGAAAGCTTTGCTTTCACTTGCATCCTTACCTAAGTCTTACAAGTCCCTAGTGCAAAGCATGTTGATGGGTGAGACGACTTTGGTGATGAAGGATGTCACAACCATGTTGTTGGAGGATAATAAGTTTCTTGAGGAGGATGATGGTGCCAATCAAAATAATGCTTTGGTGATGGAGCAATCTTAGGGAAGGTCCTATTGATGTGGAAGTGGAGGAAATCGATAAAGCTCAAAATCTAGACCTAGGAAGGATTATAGTGAAGTGGAGTGTTTCCATTGTGGTGAATTGGATCACAAACAATTTAAATGCCCAAAGTTTAAGGAGGATTTTTCTCATATGAAAATATTGATGAAAAAACAAGAAACCAAAGGCAAATGAGAGGTTAATATTGTTGAAGAAAATGTGGTTAAATTATTAGTTCATGAAAAGTGTGATCCTGAGATGGAGAAAAACAATCAAAGGTGGATTTTAGACTCCACTCCATCAATGCATGCATGCAATAATCCTTTTGAATTTGTGAGTTTGGCAAAATAACAGTAGCTACTGGCAAAAAGGTAAATATTGCAAGTACAGGAGATATTTGTCTCAATGTTCACAATTGGAGAGCTAAGATTCTCAAAAATGTGAGATATGTGCCCAAGTGTTTAAGCAATATTATTGCTTTAAGTGAGTTGACAACACAAGGGTGCAAATATGTTGGAAAGTGAGAATGGTGCAAGATTTACCAAGGTGGAAGTCTTGTTCTGTGTGGGAGGAAGAACAAGCACAACATCTATGTGCTTGAGCAACAACTTGAGAGAGGGCTTAACAAGACCATGAGAAAGATGGTGTGGAAGCCTAAAGGGATCTTGGTAGATGACAAGGAAATTAATAAGACCAAGAAAAAGGTGAGTTTCAAAAATGAAGTGGCGTTTGATGATGGTTCAAAGAGATATGATTCTTTCTCGGATCATATTTTGGTTCAAAATTAATTTCTACAATACGCCTAGTATAGGTTTGTCCTATCTTATACCGGGAAGAAACTCTCAAAAATAAGACATCATAATGAAGTGTTCTTGAGCAAGGGGAACCAAATTATGGTGGTTAAAAAATGTTGAAGAGCATTTTTGTGTCAAAGGGCGAAATGGAGTTACAGTTGATTTCTACTTCA